AAATTTTCGTTGAATTCTGTTGAAACAAGGAAATAGCAATTTTGTTTTTTCCTTCCTAAGTTAGGAATCATACTACATTAAGGAATAGAAATCCCACTACAATAAGAAGTTGGAAATTCTCTTTGAGTTCTATTCAAACAAGGAAATAGCAATTTTGTTTATTCCTTTCTAAGTTAGGAATCCTACTGCATAAAGGAATAGAGTCAAGTCAATTCCTACTAGGAAGTGCTTGAACTAATCTGTTCGTTTTAATTTGTTTGGGTTTGGTTCTTTTATTGCTTTTCTTGTTCGTTCCTTTGTGTCTTTCTATTTCCTTTAACTCTTGCAGATTTGTTGGAGTTAGATTACTGCAAAATAACTTGAATTGAGCTTGTTTAGTTCAATAACGAACTGAAAGAGGAAAGTTGAGTGAGGGAAAAAGGCAAGAGGTGTGAGCAACACTTGAGAGAAAAGCCAAGTTCTACGGTGTGTAAAACACAAGCGTTGAGTGCCATTCTGTGAGAGAGTGGAGTGAAACACGTAAGGGAGTGTTGTGAGGTCCTTTTTATTCTTCTGTTTCAAACATTTGTTGCAGGTTTCAATCATGTCAAGCGGTGATGACAAATCAACCACTAGAGGCCACCATGTGGATGAATCCTTCATGCTCAAAGCAATGCAACAACAATTTCAGAGGCTGGACATCATGTTTGGCGAGATTAAAGACAAAATGGAGAAGCAAGATGCAGCGATAGCCAAGTTATACCAAACACAAAATGGAAGTCTGAATTTGCGTAGGAATGATGCTAATGATGATTTCGATGACGATTATAAAGATACATTCAACAATGACACCCAGAACTCAAATTTCAGCATGGACAGATTTATGAGAGGTAGAGGGGGTCAAAGATATAGATTTAACAAAGGAGACCAAAATCTGGCAAGGTGGGGAGATCGGCAAGATCATGACTTAGGCAGCATCAAGATGAAGATTCCTCCATTTCAAGGCAAAAATGATCCAGATGTGTATTTGGAGTGGGAAAAGAAGGTGGAATATGCCGTTGATGGAGAACTACTTGTCACTAGGCGAGCTTTGAATATGCAAGCCAAAGAAGATGATGAAGTACAACATGACAATATATTTCACGCAAGGTGCTGTCAAAAACAAGGTATGTAGTGTGATTATTGATGGTCGTAGTTGTACTAATGTAGCTAGCACTGTTTTAGTGGAAAAGCTTAATTTACCTATGACGAAGCATCCAAGGCCATTTAAGCTGCAATGGTTAAATGATTGTGGAGAAATCAAGGTAAATAAGCAAGTTCTGGTTTCATTCTCTATTGGACGATATAAGGATGAGGTACTTTGTGACATGGTTCCTATGCATGGTGGACATTTACTTTTAGGGAGACCATGGCAATATGATAGGAGGGTAACACATTATGGCTTCAAAAATTGCTATTCATTTGTCATGGAGGGGAAAACAATTACTCTTGCAGCATTGAGTCCAAGGCAGGTTTATGAGGATCAACTGAGTGTAAAAAAAGAGAGTGAGCTGAGAAATGAGAGTGAGCTTGAGGGTATGCAAAACAAAGAGAAAACAGCAAAAAAAGAGTCCAAAAAGAGAGAAAAGATCGATAGTGTTGAAAGAAAGAGAGAAAATCAGTGAGTGAATAAGAGGAATCGAGCATCAAATTGACCCACAGCATGACAAGGGATTTCTAAACTCTAGGAAAGCTAAATCAGGTTTATAATAGGACCTTGACCCATTGTTTATGTTGCAACAAGAACCAAAGGTAAAAACCTTGACCCGTTGTCTATGACGCAACAAGAACCAGAGGTAAAAAGTTGGTTGACGCCACACCCTCGAACGATTAAGAACGAGAATGATAAGTCAGTTTAGAACGCCACAAGAATAATCTTGATAAGTTCTGTAAAGTTCTGAAATGAACCAAAGAGAAAAGTCTTTCAAAATCTCAGATTCAATAGCCTCCCAATTAGGGTTACAAGCCCCTTTAAATAGGGAAAAGTAATTCTAATCAGAATAGGAAACTAACACTGATGGGAATCAAGACAACAACATATCTACTACGTCATGTGATCCGTTACACAGCCAAGGAGGTCCAGTCACGCGAGCTAGGGCTAAGAAGATGCGTGAAGCTTTAAATGGCCTTATTGTGCAGATCTGGGTTGAAAACAACATACAAAAAGCAAATTGAAGCTTGGATGATTATCAAGGCATGGTAAACATCATTCAGGTTCAAGAGAAGCTTAGTTGAGGTCATTTGCATGGAATTACACAGCGTCAAAATCGCACAATTCTGCCGCAACTTGTAGCAAACTGATATTTCGTGTTATTTTAGGTTATTTTTAGTGATAGTCACGTTTTTTGTATTATTTTTGGGCTGAACATTTTCTTATCAATTCGTGGTTATTAGGTTTAGGCCTTAGGGTGTTAATTTCCTATTCTGATTAGGATTTGTTTTCTCTATTTAAAGGGCTTGTAACCCTAATGGGGGGAGAGGGATTGAATCTGAGATTTTTGAGAGACTTTTCTCTTTGGTTC